TATTAAAGATAGTGCAAAAGATAACTATGAATTTACATTCAAACAGGCTTTTGACAAAGCCATTGCAACAGGCTCCTAATCAGGTCTTGAGACCTAGCCTGCCCTCTCTTTAAACCCGTGATCTTGAAAAGGAGCTTTAAATTGGAAATTATTACACATTAAAACCTCAACATGGGCCAGATCGAAGCGGATCGATATCTTGCCGAGCACAATAAATCAGCCTTCTGCTCTGCGGTTACTGTTTGCTGAACATATTTAAATTTTCTTGTAACAAATTAATTCCAACATTTTCTCTTGATTGAATTAGGGCAAGTGTTGGAGCTGTCACAAGTATTTCACTGCTTCAGGGAGACAAATTGCTCGTCTGGACATGGGTAACAAGCCAAAGTGTTGAGTCCCTGATAATCTTTCCACTAATTCTCCATTACAGCAAAATGAAGCCATAAATCACCGTGACAGCTGATCGATGTAAACATTGTTTCCGCCATGATTGCCAGCGCTCCCCGCGGGCTCACTGTCCGCTCACAATTCGCTGGAATTACTGCCCGCGCCGCCGCCCGGGGAGCCGCGCGCGCCCCGCACCAAAGTCACTCCTGTCGAAAAAGTAACCATCTCATTTCAGGGCTCAGCCCGCTCGCCAAATAGCAAATATTAATCAAAACGCCCTATTTAGCTACCGGCGAGGTAATCTTTTAAAGCTAAGAAGCGTTCCTCGGGCAATCACTCTTTCTGCAAAAAAAATGAAATTTTAAACTCCCGTTTTATAAAATATATTTGCGGAAATGTAACAATGTCAGTCCGCGGTCCTGTCGCTTTCTCTTAACTAACTAGTGGCAACTTGGATGAAATTACTTGACCCTTTATCGAGTTCTGCTAATGTCTTCTAAAAAAGAAATTAAACCACCTGGTGGCTTGCCCTATGGCAGCTCTCCGCGCACATTTAATTCTGGGAGAGATGTATTAAGTGGTTCTGTGCAGAACTAATTCACAGGCGGAGCCGGCAGTGCCCGCGGTCCCCCTGCATAATGCCGCGGCCCCGACACGGCGGGGCTGGCTCCAGAAGCCACCGGAGGAGCACAGGGGGCAGCCCCCATCCCGTCTGCGAGGGGCTCGGGGGGCTCAGCGCCGAGGAGAAGGGCTGTGAGGGAGCCGGGCGGTGGCGATGAGGAGGGAGCGAGGAAGAGCTGGCCGACACGCACAGCGAGTGAATGACACACTTGGGGTGGTGTGATGAAAGGGATAAAATCAAGCAGAGCGGATCTGGGACATGCCAAGGGTGGCCGTGCACCACAAAAAACCATCCCTGGGCTGCCAAGGGGCTGGGTGTCACCCCACAAGGCCATTCCAGCCACCAGGGCCACCCGGCCACCTCCAGCTCCATCCAGCAGGGGCTTCCCATAGCCCTTCTCCAGGTGCGTTTTTGTCTATCCCTAAGTGAACCGATGGAAGAACAGAAATTAGAGAGCACACACTATTTCCTCATTTAAAATATTCATTATGTCAGTATTACAATCTCCCTGTTCAGCCTGTGAAAACAAAAGCAAGCATTGTAAGAAAATACATGCATGGTTTGCAACCACCTCGGTGCAAAAAGAGCCTCTCCCAAGAAGCACGTGCCCCCATAGCCAAAATTCATCACGGGGAGGCCGCCCCCGGCACCCCTGGGTGCTCGCAACAGCCACAGCCCCCCCACGAAACCACGCCACGGATCTTGGGAGTTCATCGCGGTATTGGATGCGAAGGGTAAAATGGTGAGAGCGCATTCATCAACGTCCAGCTCCGAGCCGTGCTCGACCAGTCAAAAGTTGGGATCGATGTGGGATCGTTACGGAGGGGCGAGGGCTGGAGGTGACCGGGGGACAGGAGGGGACCAACACCCCCGGCACTCACCTGGGCCCAACGGGGCCGCACATCTCAGGGCAGCCTTAAAAAACGCCTCTTCTGCATCGGCTCCTCGCGTGAGACTTTGACCACGTTACAAGTTCCGCTTTGGAAACATTTATTATAATTGAAATACACTTAATTGAGACACACTTAATTAAGACTAATTGAAATTCCACCGCCATTACAAAAGCAGTAAATTAAAAAGGAGGGGAAAAGATCAGAAAGGAGGCTTTCTCAAGGCTGGTAAGCTTCAACCCGTTTTGCTGTTAGAAACTGGAGACTCGTTAATAAGAAGTCTTGTGCTTCTGTAATAATTATGCATTTTCATATATTGTTTCTAAGAAAGGGAATCTATTATTTTCAGAAAAACAACCCTAAAAAGTGCCAGTCAAAGCCATTAAGATGTTTTCTCTGATGCACCGCACGTAAATCTGATTTATGTTGGTTTGAACAGTTAAGAAATCCCTGAAATAACTTCATTTATTATTTTATTGCCTGATTAATGGTTTGGAGTAACTGATTTGTAGCTGAAGTTTTACAGAATGCAAAATTAAAATAATAGCCTTTTGTAAAACTGTTCTGTATTTGTTCAATTATGTGTTTAAAACTGAAACAAATATCAAAACTTCAATAAATATATTTTCTTCCAAGAAATGACATACTGTGGGTTTTCTGTTATTGTTGGGTTTGATGTTTTTGCCTCTAAGGAGGTCAGCAATATGGAAACATAAAGGCCAATTTAATTTGTGCATCTGTGGCTGCCAAGTATTTTAATTCCGACAGCTGTGACTGAAGAGTTAATATTTTACTTGTCAAAATCCAAAAGAAGGCCAGTGAATCACTCTAATTCTCATTAAGAGGCTTCCCCCCAGTAGCACCCTAATTCAAAATAATGAAAGTAGAGACTGAGTGCGATTCTAATACCAGTTGAGACCTATCTTTTAATATTTCGCTAGTGATGGATTAGGGATCGGGGAAATTCATCTCAGATCATAGAGCCTAATTTAATAAGGGATCATTCCAAGAGTATTGCATTTTATAATAATGTCATTTAATGTGTCGTCTTCCATTTTTACTGTCCCATATGTATGCTTACATGATGGTGCCATAGGGATAAACTTTTAAAGAACCAGTATCATTTTTTGTTCTAGGTTCTTCTTAACGAGGAAGTTTATCAATGGTACGGTCTATTAGTGATCTATTATAATTGCAGAGCAGTTAGAAGAAACACTGGAAGCCAAGACCGCGGTAAAACAAATGACGGCTTTGCACAGCCTGAAACCTTGGAGTGAAAGGAATGGAAGAACATTTAAAAGAACGTTAAAATCAGATTTTAGCGTCCAACACAACAGTGCCATAGCATGAAAAATGTGGTAACCCGGTTGTTTAAAAGCCATGGTAATAAAATAATTTTCTTCTGTAACAATATCTACATGCAACATTTTCCACTTGCTTGTTTGGAGTATTCTTGCAGTTTTTTAGGTCTAGCTAATCTCTTCTCTGTTTCTCATGGTAATTCCTCAGTGTTCCTTGCTGCAAAGGGCAGGAATTTGCTCTTCTGTGAGGTCGGCAAATCATCAACAACCTACATAATGAATCAGGCTTTATTTTTGTGTATTAATATTTGGACGGTATTTAATCAGTTGTGTTGTTTGTATTTCTTGGCATTGCACAGAACGTGAAATTCCCCGTGATTACTACAACAATGCCCAAGCTACTCAAGGTCAAGAAACCCTCACCACGTAAAAGTCAATAGATTATTATTGGCTATAGGCTGTAGAGCTGCAGCCTGAGTCTTGCTTAATCACTCTTCTATTGCACAAGGCCTTTAGGAAAAATGGTGTTATAATGAGAATTTTTGTTCCAAATGCATTCACACGATTAAGTCTTTATTTTCAGGTAACAACTCAGCAGCTTCAATGTAAGGTTTGACAGAATTAGATCAAATACAGACAGTCTAAATAGGAAACAGTTGAGTAATAACCTGCTGTAAACAATAATCTAATTACAGTTGTTGTTTTTTCCAGCACAGAAACGTGTCATTTGAAGGGGAACGCAATTAATACAAAATGAGGTTTTTCATATTTTCTCTTTTCTCCTGTGTATTTTCAAGGTTTTGTTTTCTTTAGAGTATTGGAACTTGTGGGATTTGTGGCACTTTTTCTCATAAAGCCCAATTTATTATTCTTGTTTTGTCTAAAGTATCCTTTTTTGATATTTCTTTTGATTTTCTTCTTTGCATTTTAAGTTCCCATTTGTCTGCTACCTCTTTTTATTCTTTTCTATTTCCTCCTCCTTCCATTTCTGTCTTCTCAAATAATTCATTTCTTACTTCTTCAGGTTTAATTTTTGAGTCTTACTGGTGGTTAGCTCATAAAACCCTCTTTGCACCTTGGAAAAGTTTTATCTAGATTTTATAGTCCCTTTTTTTTCCCCTCACTGTTATCTTTTCATATGTTAGTGTGTTGTTTGTTAAACTTGTTTCTTTTGATTAAATATCAAAAGTTATTCCTCCAGTAGGAATGTTGCGTATGCACTTGTCTGGCATCTGGAGCCGCTTTAGGGACTCATTAAGTTTGCTAAGGAAAAATTATATTTATAACTGTTTAAGATCCGTTCTAAATCAGAAAAAAAAAAAATGTCTGGTTGTATTGGATTATACTAAAAAAAAAATAGAAACAACAAGAAGAAAAAAAAACAAATAAACATTGTGAGGACCCTTTTTTTAAAGAAGGTGTCATGTGTGAGTCACCCTTTTCTACTTCCACCACTTGTTTTTCCCATATCCCCTACATTACAAATAATGTAAAAGGAAAAAAAAAAAAAAAAAAAAAAGGGTGTCAAATGTTGGCAGTTAGTATAGGTTGTGTCCAGGCTCATGCTTGTGATGTTTTTCTGGTTTTAGTGTATAACTGACCATTTTTCCTTTCCTTGCATGTGTGATCCCTGGGTTTAAAAAGCAGCAGAGCCATGCTGTGGTGATGGTTGGGTGCAGGAACCCCTCCCCATGGGCACTCCGAAACGGTCCCCACACCTGAAATCACTCAGAGAGACAGGGCGAAGGCAGGGGATGTATTTAAATCCCAGGACAGTGAGGAGTGGTGATAGACTGGGGGAAGAGGCTGCCAGGCACACTTGCTGGGTGCATTTGGAGCTCACCCCCAGCAGCTGAGGCTGAAAACTCCTCTGGGAGGTGTGCAGCAGAGGGGAGCACATGGACAAGCTCCGTGCTGCAGGGATGATCCACCTGAACTGCTCCTAAAGGGAATCCTTGGCAGGTTGGGGCATGGGAAGAGCTCCCTCCTGCAGCTGTGACATGGCCATGGGGCTGGGAGAGCTGAAGGGAGAAGTGCTGGGGTTCGGATGGTGCTGGAGATGTGAGGCTGGACGTGATGCACAGGTCCTCTGCTGCTTCTGGGTGAGTCACGGCTGGAGGAGTCGAACTGGCAGCAACCGAGCTGCACCCATGACTGGTTAGTGTGGTATGAATCCAGCTTGCTAAGCTGCCAGCTACAAGCTCAACCAAAATCTGGTATAAATAGTGCTATCTCAGTGGCAAAGATCAGCAATAGCTGAGAAATAGGTCTTGGTCAGAGAGATATGAGAAGAAAGCATCTTCAGACAGTTAATGGTCTGCCAAAGAATACAAAAAAATGTTTCTGAACTTAGTCATTTCTTGCTTTTCATTTGTTCTTTCAGTTTCTCTCTGTTTCCTTCCGTCTGTAAATGCCCCTGCCTCTCCTCGTGCCCTCCTCAGGCTGTTGTGTTTGGCAGATCTGCTGCTCATCACAGAGCCTGGTTGGGGAGGCCAGCTGAGCACCTCATTATAGACCCGCAGGCCATCGTGGAGTAGAAATATCTTCAAGAAAACTATTTAGGAAGAAGTTTCCACAATGTTTTCACTGGAAGCTTCCCTCCTTGCCCTCTCAGACCTGCCAGAGGACCCCGTGGCTCCTGCCCACACCAGGCCATTCCCTCTCTGTTTGCCAGGTGGTAGCAAGGCCCAAGGCTTTCCTGTTGTTTCTTTGTTACTTTAAATTAACCAGAATTCAGTTTTAATCTAGAAATTCAAAGACAGTTCACTATACGAATTTGGGAGACAATACTTTGGGTAATAGAATTTTGCGTTTAAGTCTTAAGACATTTTTCTTTGGCTGTCTGGACAGGTATAAATCAGTCTCCGGAAAAAAAAAAACAGGCTGCCACAGCAAATATACTTTATTACAATACGAAACTGATTTTCAACAAATAAAATATGCTGTTGTGGTCAGTATTGCCACAGATACCTGTGTTTACTAAAGCTTTTGCAGACAGCAGACACGGGAAAAGACAAACACCCGCTGAAGTACATGTTTTAAAGATCAACCCAATATTACACGAAGATCGTCAATAATTTGCTCTGTTCTCATTGGAGCACAGAAACAATATCAGCTAAAATCAACCACGTAATAGCCCTCCATAAGAAGGTGTTGTGGCTGTTGTTTTTTCTGACAGCCCAATTTGTTTGAGTCCGAACAATAAATCCTATAAAAATGCTTATAAAAGTGATCATAGGAATGTAATCAGATTAGTCAGCCTTTCCTCTCCCTGATATTGAACCAGTATTTTTCAATCTAGAGATACTTTATTAAATACCGTTAACGTTACATCAAATCTGTCAAGAACCCAGTGGGGGTGTCTTGTGAACGAAGGAGGGTTTCGATTCAGCTGGGGGACGTGGCCTGATCCTGCAGTCCTCGTGCACACACATTGCAGTGCTGCAGGGTTACGTGCACGGGGGGTGCTGGCTTTTGTTTGCTCGTGAGCCTGGTGCTTGCTCGCTCCCAAGCAAGGGGCTCAGTGCTCTGGCTGTGGAGATGTGAATCTGTACGAGGAGATGTTAAAACAACTCCTTATTTTGGGCACCAGATTGAATTTAGGAATAATTCATTTTCTAGATTTAAACTTTCTTTAAGGTGGATCTTGGAAAAAAAAAATCCTATGTTGTGAAGTTACATTTATGTCAACTGGTCTCAGCAGCAGAGGGTACTGCTCATGAGGCTTCCAATTTGGTCACAACCCATTGCAACATCTCATTGAAATGAGGAAGGACGGTTACAAAAAAAAAAAAAAATATTTGCATTGATTGTATTCAATGATTAGCAGTTTTTTCACAGCCAGGGTAAGACTGGCTATTACAGATGGTTTGCAAAAAATATCAAGAAAAAGTTAGGTGGGGAGAAGGGTAAGTCACAAGTGCCAACCTTTTCATCCTCTGCCTTACTTCTTGTTCCTGCACGTGCCCTTCCAGCAGGGGAAGGCATCACAATCCCACCAGAGCTGCCGTCCCTGCAGCAGGGTCTCCCTCCCCGTCCCCAGGAGGGCAGGAGCCCATGGAGCAGGAGCCCGGCCATCCTGTGCCTCGCCCATGGGGTGCTCCCCCTGCCTCACCAGCAAAGGGAGCCTCCAGCAGTCCTGAAGGCATTTTGGCTTCCCTGCCACTGGGGATTATGGAGACAGTGGCCATTAATGGATGATGGATTAATGGGTATACGAAAATTTAATTTCTTGGGTATAGTCTATGATGTTGGTCTTTCTGTTGGGACATAAATGTGCACAAGATGATGTTTCAAGGGCCAAACTGTGGACATCCCCTTCTACTCTTTTCCTTCTGAATTCATGCTGTTGTGAGAGCGGATCTGGAGAAGTCCTGCTAGCCTGTGTGCCATAGCTACTTACTGCCCAGGCTCTTTTGGGCTGTTTAATTTGGGAAAACAAACTGATGAGTGGGTAAAGGCTTCCATGAATACACCGCTGCCTATTTACTGCCGGTTCACCAAGTGCAGTTTCCCCAAACACAGCCTGCTGGGCAGAAAGCACTTCTGGTTGTTCACAGTTCCTGCTCCCCTTGGCAGTCACCATGACCATGGACGCATCTGCCTTCCTCCCCGGGCATTTTGCCTTCTCTCCCTGCTCTTCTGCTGCTTCAGGCTCCGCTTCCCTGATGCTTCCCTGCCTTGTGTTGCATGCACATGGCCCCGAGCAGTGGCCGGGTGCCTGCCCTGTCCCTGCACGCACAGATAAGGGCAGGAGATTGCTTTATAGGATTAATTATTTTAGCTATGGCCAGGACATTGGAATTCAGTGTTCAATACCAATTTGCCTCAAAGAGGTGTTTCTGGTTTGTTTATATGTCTGATTCAGCCTAATTTCACGGCGACTCGATGCTTTTCACAGTCATACCTGTGGCCACTTGACAGCAAGCAGTGCGACAAGCTCGCTGCCGCCCTGCTGGGACCATGTTCAATAGCTGTGTGCATTTTTAACGCGAGCCCGTGCTGCAGCCTGTCCGCATTTGATGCCTTCCTCGGTGTCCCAGGGCAAACTGTCTGTAGTGCCGAGCGAGAGAGTTGCGATGGACATTTGGTCTTAAACTGTTCTCCGGGACTTCAATGACAAGGGAAACACTCAGACACCAGCCAAGAGCCCTAGGCTATAATTTTCTTAGATCTTTTAAGCTAAACAAGGTTGTGCTTGCTCAATAGCGGTACTGAAGAAATCAAGGAAAAATGCGATTTGCGGGGAATGCATTTCTTCTGAGCACAAACCTGAAATTTTCCATTTCGCAGCACCTCGTCTGGACAGCCTGGCTTGTGCCCGTACTTCCAGCTTCCTCCAGAGGAGACAAAGCTGCAAAACGATGCTTCGGAGAGCTGGGTTTGCACAGGGGATGTACATTTGCCCAGGGATGTGCCGCAGCTCCCTGTGCAGATGGCTCTGAGCTTGGTGCCGTGCCAGGGGCTGATCCTGACTGCAGATCACCCCAAAATACACCTCAGCCTTCCTGGCCACCAGCCCCGGCACGGTGATAGCCCAGCAACCTGGAGGTATTAAGTGTGATTTTTCTTTTTAAAGCTTTTCTTAGCTTTATTGAGAATTTTGGGGAGCTAAGCAGTGCGTGCAGAAGTTAGCTGTCTAAAACTAAAGTTATGGCTATCCCAATTTTATATCTGTTAAAATACAAAAGCACAAGCTTTTTTTAAACATGTGGCATTTATGATTACCGAAGGCAAAACTAAAACTCTTCTTTCTGCTCTAGTCATTATCTTTGCATGCCTGAGCCCCTAACGTTAATCCGTGTATCTGCAAGCTATTGCTTCGAGTCTTCTGAAATTAGACAAGACCAAATTTACCATTTCCTTATTGACAGCACTTGAGGTATGCTGAACCACCACATGTTCCTCTGTGGTAACGAACAATGAGCACACAGGAAATAGTTAAAAACAAATGCAACCCCTGGTGAATGTTAATTTTTCATTTTTTTCTCAAAACTAAGTGGGACTGTGCATTAAACTGATGCAAAAGCTTAAAAATTTTTAAATGCATTCGCACTTGAAATAGCCATAAAGATGAATTACTCCCGGGAATACATCATCCATAAGTTAGCCTGACCCTGGACGTATCGTGGCTAATAACAATTGTTTTGAAGTATATATGTTCCGTTTCTAACAGAAGGCTTAATTCATCTTTTTCCACGAGCAGAGCGGGGAACTGACACTCTGTAAATTCTGCCTTTCCATTGTTTAACCAAGAAGTCTCAGTACAGATGTTATGAAAGAAAGCTCTGAGAGAAAATTCACAGTCACTTCCCCGGCCCTGGAAAATAAGTCCTTGATTACAAGCAAAATGAGCCCATTAGAAATTAATCTAAGCTAATTGCATCTGAATATAAAGTAATTTATGAATTGCAAATGTTTATCTTTCCTTTAGAAATATTACTGGGGCTAAATTACTTCTGAAATGCGTACAAAACGCTTTGCCTAGGTAGGAAAATATTGTAAACTATTTCTGTAATTAAGCTGATTACATATGTAAAAATGCTCATCTGCTTCGGATTATTTGTCAGCTCTGTGCAACAGGGATAAAACCCACCGAGGACCAGGAATGTTCCCGTGCAGTGAGCACAAGGCAGTGCTACCACCACGTGCACCAGGTAAGAGCCCGGCCCGCTCCCTGTGCCACCAAATCCACAGCAAAAGGACCCAGAGCCCACCTGCAGGTACTGAACAGGGAGAAAAATCACCCCCAAATTGCCAGAAACCACACAAATCAGTTTGTGTGCCTTCCCACAGTAAGGGACAAAAGCTATAGCAATGCTGTTTACTTTAATTACTGTCTGCCCAACTAATTACAATATTCCAAACCAGAGATTTAAAATGTATCACAACCAGTTCATTCATCACCCCGTTGTTTTCTCCTTCCTGCCGGTTCTGCCCCGTGGTCCTGAGCCGAGCAGGATTTCTGCTGCGGTCACTGGGCGGGTGGAAGCGCGCGGGGCCAGCGGTGGCGTTTCCATGTGGTTTCCATTGTCCTGCATTTAACCTCTGGGAGATATTTTGGGGAATACTTTATTTACATTTTCTTTAAAAAAGAGTGTGTTTACCTTCTTCCTAAAGATTACCACATGTCAAAACACTTCCAAATCTAAATATTTCTTAAAAGAGAACCTGCATAATAAATAATGTATACACGTTAAGTAAAGGAATGGCGTAAAAGATGTTCCGAGCATTCGCAGCTATTTGCTAATGGGCTACAGGCAGTGTCTTAATTTCCAGCAGAACAACCTATCTCGGTCAGCACCAGCCAAGTTTCCGCTGCTTAAATATTTACCGAGAGGACAGCTCGGAGCCCTGTAAGCGTTGCTGCTAACACCGGCTGCCTGCACGGTGCCGCGATGCCGGTGTGATCCCAGGCCCAACTCAGCTCTCCATGGGGACTCCCTGGCCCAGCTCTGCATGCAGAGCTTGAGGGACCCCCCTCTTTCTAGCATGAGCTCTCCACGTGGGGGAGAACTGTTGCTCTTAAGGCAGTGGCCACCTAGCACGAGTGACAAAATGTCCCACCCATTACGGAGTGCACAGAACGTGTTGGTGTCTTGCTGGAGCAGGAGACTGAAGCACCAAGGTGCTGGTCAAAGGCAGATAGCTGGGGAGTTAAAATGTTTGGGTTTGTGGGAGAGCAGGAGCTGTGAAACCAGTAAGACCCCACAGCTGCTGAGTCCCCCCAGCAAAATTGCCAGCATTTACCAGTTCCCGGTGACACAAGATCGGTTGATGCAAACCCAGAGAGCTTCGAGCGATAGTAGAGGTGTGGTGGATGCTACTGAAGTGAGCATCCAAATCATGAAGGTGGGACATCAGCAACCACTGGGCACTTTGTCAGATGATTAGCTTGCAGTCTTCTTGCTGCCTTCTCCAGGAGGTGCTGAACTGAGGGGGATGTTTTCAGAGAGTAAAACACCAGGGAGAAAGAGCAGGCACCTGCTGGTGGAGCCCACGGTCACCTGGCTGCACTGGTTGTTCCTGCCCACGGGTATGCTTCAGGATCCCAGTGGGAAGGCTGAGCATGGAGCACTGATGCTCAACAAGTGCCTACCTGAGCTGGGGTGCAGCTGGACTTTCTTAATGCATTATCAAAACTCTTTTCCTTCTCTTAATTAACCCAAAGAAGATGTTTGTGAAAGATTCTGGGACTATTTTACAGCCATGGATCTGTACCCTTGGTGCTTTCAGAATGGCTTTGGCTGCTGCTAACTTCAAATTTCCTTGCATTTTGCAAGTGAATGCATTTCGTACCTCCCGGTTTCAGAATTTTGAATTGGTGTTATTCCCTGGATGATTTTTACCCGTGTAAAAGGAGATTGCTAGTGTCCCAAGAATATTTAATGAGCAGCATGTCTGATGTGCAAAGGCCATAAAAGTTTTGTTGTAAAGGAAAATGTTTTCTCAAACGTGTCTTTCAGAGGTGCAGTATTTAAAAGCTTAACACAGAAGGGTTAAGTAAAGGCTTGCAAAATGTGCTGCAGATCTCATTTGGTTACATATTTTCCTCCATTATCTTGCAGAAATGAGCAAGCAACTTGAGGCTGGAGTGGCAGAAAAAAAGGACAGCATCAAAATGACCTCCTTACTGAGACCACCAGAGCAGGCAGGTTATACAGCGCTCGTTGCTGGAGCAAAGCAGCGGCTTTTCCTTCCTCGTTCTTCCGGCTTCCCTCCCCTCTGAGTAAAGTTTAAGTTCTCGTATGAGTTTAAAACATTATTGCTGGAAAGAGGCTGCCTCCTGTATCGCAAAGGAAGAGCCGCATGTCGGTGCAAAGCATGGGTGCCACCACACGAGCACAGCACTCGGAGCGCTGCAGCCTTCATCCCCGGCAGCACGAGCCAGGTGAAGCGGTGCTTCAGGAGCCTTCACCTGCACCTGGCAGCCAAAAGCAGAAATCAGCCTCCAGATGGGGGCTGGCTGCTTTTCTCTGACAAAAGGAGGAAAAGGAGGCATGCTGTTATAACATAAAAAGATGATGGGCATCGAGGGCTCCGCTCGTTTTTCCATCAGAAATTTAGCTTCTGTCCAGTCAGCAAAGTGAGTAAGGACTGGCAGAACAGTGTAAATGCATCCAAAAAGCTAAAATCCTATATGCTGTGCAACCAGACTAGTAAGGTTCATGGTGTAGAAAATCCTCAGAATTTTCTTCATTCACACCAGCTTAATTGCCTAAAGAACATCTGGAGAGAAGACCTGGCCACTCATTGAAGTCCTGAGCAGTGACAACCCACATTTCTGAAAACACTTATCAGATCCTCTATCAAAACCAGGGGCAGTTGCAGCTTAAATATTGGGAAGGCTTAAAAAAAGCACAATTTTTCCAGTTCCTTTCAGGACTTTGTCGCACAACCCAAAAATGCGAAAGTGAAACAGATCTGTTGTGCTTTTTTAATATATAAAGTAGATGACCTTTAAGGTGCACTTTCACCTGTTGTTACTTCGCAGGAAGGATGAACAGGCTCAGAAACTGTGAGAAATAGAGAATAAAGGGCGAACAAAATGGGAACAGCCACAAAGTTGGACAAGTATCAATATTTACCGGGCAGGAGTTAGCACAGTGTTTGCTGCTACAGAAAACACATTATTTATTCCTTGAGCATTCAGCTGCAGCTTGCTCGCGGGACTGCCGTACTCACACGGCCACGCTGCTGCTGCTGAGAGCCCTCGGCTGGACCCATATACACTCGATAGATCTGCTGCTGCTTTTCCGAAAGGCAAGTTTAAGTGTGCCGCTTACCAGCTCTGCCTGCAGGAAAGCCGAGCTGCTGATGAACAAGATTAGACAGAGCAATTTCATACCCAGTATTTAGCACAGCTTTATGCGCTTTTTCAAAACAGCACCGTTCGCCCTGGAAAAGAGCATTTTCCTTTCTTTCTTTCTTCTTTTCCTCTTGTAAGTGTTCCTGTATCGAGAGCTGAGGGCTGATAGGGGTTAGCACGGTGGGGTCTGAGTTTTGTGTGAGACATCTGGCTGCCATCGCAGTGCTCACCTCACTGCGTTACTGCGGGGAGCGAGCAAAATCTGGAAACTGCTACTTCACTGGGCAAGAATCTGCATACGTTCATGCTGTGAACACGCGATGGGCTCTACGAGGACAGAAACAGGTGTTTACTCCTTGCTACGTGATTTATTTGATCTCTTCTCTAAATCCCCTTCTCATGCCAGTACATCTCCACATAAATCCCATGCTAAAATTTTATCTACAGAAAGCATACATTGTATATGCATTGGCTGGCTCGTGAAATGTCCATAATTAAATTTCATGAAACCTACATTTTTTTTATATATATATAAGTTCAGACACTCTGAGAAATAAAATAGAAACAGGAGAGTTCTGGCCAACTTCTGTAGGCCTATAGACTTATTAGGTATTCCAGCCCAAGGAAACCAGGAATGTCAGTATTCCTGTCCAAAAATATCCTGTTAAGAGTATTTTATTTTAATCACAGCTGTGCTAAAAAATACACAGTTCTCTTATACCGTCCAATCGTCTTTCTCTGTTATGATGAAAGTACATTTTTCATGCTTTTTATTACAATCATCTTGAGGACAGACATGCCAATATCTGAGCAGACTGTAAAGATTTGAACCCCACGCTGTACATATCCATCACGGGCACCCACAACCTGCCCAGGACCGTGTTTAAAACCCAGCTGGGCTTCGGGCAGGGGCCGTGAGGTGAATTTATTCGGGACAGTGAATTTATTCGAGGCTGTGCTTCAGGTGCCGGCGGCGGGGCCACGGGGCCGGGGCTGCGATATTAGCAACTGGCGCACATATTAATTAACTCCTTTATTCACGGATCAATCGACACCACCGTTAGTTTTATTGACTTGATAATTAGCAGGATCTTACTTTTGTTTGGATAAAGCTGCTTTTTTACTCAGCGTAAAATCTATCCCTCCAGCAGCAGACAGACGCCCGAGCTGTCTGCCCGCTGCTCCCGCTGCCGGGCCGCCTTCTGCCCGAGGGAAGGAGGGATGGAGGGAGCCCTTCTCCGCCGAGATCTCTCCTTCCCGAGCCGAGCAGGGGTCCCCTCACGGGGCTGGGAGCCGAGGAACGGCGGCGGGCGCCGGCTCCTCACGGGGCAGCGGGGCAGGCGCCATCCCGCAGCGAGCGGCGGGAGCGGCCCCTCACGGGGACACCATGGCGGGAGCCCTTCTCCTCACAGAAAGCCCCATAGTGGGAGCCTTCTCCTCACAGGGACACCATGGCGGGAGCTTTTTCCTCACAGGGACACGATGGCGGGCGCCTTTTCCTCACAGAAAGCCCCAAAGTGGGAGACTTCCCCTCACGGGGACCCCACAGCGAGCGCGTCCCCTCACAGGGACACCGTGGCGGGCGCCTCCTCCTCACAGAGCCCCCCATGGCGGGCGCGTCGCCTCACAGGGACACCATGGCGAACGTGTCCCCTAACAGGGACCCCGCGGCAGGTCCCTTCTCCTCACAGGGACACCATGGCGGGCTCCTTCCCCTCACAGAGCCCCCCCATGGCGGTCGAGTCCCCTCACAACGGGCGCCATCCCCTCGCCATCCCCCGCTCCTCCCGGGGCTGCGGGCGGCGGCTCCGTGCGGGCTCGGGCGCTGCGGGAGGGCGGAAAACATTGCGAGCCAGTGCACTTTCCTCGATTTTATTACCTGAGGGAACTTGACAGAACTTGCAAAAGACACAATTGCGAAGTCGCTTCCACCGGCCTGCTTTCTACCGAAACCGCGGCGGGGGGCGGCAGGGCTCCGGGGGGCTCCGGGGGGCCGGAGCAGCGGCACCTCGCCCCCCTCGGCCCCAAAAAGACCGCAAAGTGTCTAAAATTCATTGCTTGGCACTTATCGAAATTTGCGACGTCGGAAACGGATTGACAAAAGGTGAAGCAAACCTGAGCGAAACAAAATATATTGTACTGACAACAAATGTAATGAAATAACAGCATCTTTTTTTTTTTTTTCCTTTTTTAAATAACTTAAAATACACTAGAAAAAATATGGTCAATATAAATAATTTCGTTTTCATGGAGAACAAATAGATACAAAGCCCGTCCATACCAAAGTTCGCGCAGAAGAGCTTTCCCTCGTTCCCGGCAAGGAGCAGGAGGGGCCGGGGGGAGCAGCCACCCCTCGAGGTACCCCAGGTTAAATAGCTATACGTCTTCCAAATCAACCAAAAATCATAAAATAAATCACAAGATTACGTGAATAGATACACCTTTATGAGATAAAATGTAAATGTTTGACAGTCAACTATCAATTCACAAGTTATAGCCAAAATAAACTTTGTTCGTGTGTATCAACATATTTTACATGTACCCAGTACCTCTTATTGGAATTGGCCGTTGTGTGAAGTGGCGGCTGGGCATTAAATACTTTCTTTCCTTTTCTTTTCTTTCTTTTTTTTTTCTTTTCTTTTTTTTTTTTTTTTTCTTTTTGCCCTCAGGACAAGAGGGACCCAGCGAGGGAGGCACACGCCGCGCTCCTGACGCTTTCCGCTCCCTTTCATTTCGGAGGTGGGACAGCGAACGACCAGCAAAGATTTAAGAGTGGGAAAGGCAGTGCTTGATCTCCCTCTCTTTCTGCTTCCCTCCAAGATTAAAAGCGAAAGAACCCAGCCACGTTTGTTTGTTTTGTTTTTCTACTAAAGATGAGGGTGAAGTGCAAGTGAATCAAAGGACTCCATCAATGAAATACAAATACATGCAACCCGGAATGCTGCTGGAGGAAGTATCCCGGACAGTTTCCCATTAAAAATTCGCAGAGAAATCATTGTCTCTGTCTCTCTTCCGTTTTCTTTCTTTCTTTTTTTTTTTTTTCTTTCTTTCTTCTTCGTCGTCGTTCTCTCTTCTTTTTGTCGCTATTCCCGACGTGGTTGTTAAACTCAAGTATCTGATGCAACGTGAAAGGAGGCCCGCCTCTCTTATCAAATTTCTCGTATTAAAGTGAACTTCGCAGAAAAAGGGTCAGTTTCAAAACCTGTGAACTTCCCAGCTGCGCGTCTAGTTCGTCTAATTCTTTAAATAAGTATTATATCTCCCGTCAGTCTCTCCTCTCCCCCTTCTCCTCGCCGTTTGGCTTCGAGCTCTGCTCCCCTCCGGAGGAGCGGCCGCTGCCCCCCCGGTCACAGCCCCAGGGCCGCGGCGTGCTTCTTGGCCTTCAGCCGGAGGTCGGCGATGCTCGAGTTCTTGCTGGTGGTCTTGGCGGCGGCGGCGGCGGCCACCACGGAGGCGGCGGAGGCGGACTCGGCCAGCGTGGCCAGCGGCAGCCCGAAGGGGGGCGCGGGGAACATCATGTAGGGCGCGTGGGCCAGGTGCGGGTGGAGGTGGTGGTGGGCGTGGGCCACGGCGCTGTCCAGCTGCAGCTGCGCCTGAACCTGCGGGGACACGGGCGCCCGTGGCAGCGGAGACCCGAAACCCGGGGCCGTCCCCAGCCCCAATCCCATTCCATCCTCCTCCCATCCCACCTCCGACTCCATCCCTGACCCCGGCCCCATCCCCATCTTCATCTCCATCCCTGACCCCTTCCCTATCTCCATCCTCATCCCCATCCCTGACCCCATCCCCATCATCATCCCCATTCCCATCTCCATCTCCATCCCCATCTCCATCCCTATCCTCATCCTCATCCCCATCCCCATCCCTGACCACGACCCCATCCCTGACCCCATCCCCGACCCCATCCCCATCCCCACGCGCGCCCCCGCGCCCCCTTGCCTGCTGGAAGGGCATCCTTAGCGCTCCCACGTTCACGTACGGGGCCACCCGGCAGGCTTCGAACTGGCTGGCGGCGCCGATCAGCACCCCTGCGGGGCGAGGGCAGGCGGTCAGCGCTGCCGCCCCCACGCGTGGCCCACCCACCCGCGGCTCGCTGCCGGCCCCCCCCCATACCTTTGTGGAGCTGGTTTTCTTGCTTTCGGCATTTGGCTCGCCTGTTCTGGAACCAGACCTGCGGGGACAAGGGGGCCGGCGTCACGCCGCGCCGCGGGAGCGAGAGAAATCACCCCAAAAATCAGCACCGAAAGCACCGCGGAGACAAAGGGGAGCCCGGCGGGGGGGACACCCTAACGGGACACGCGGGGCAGGGGGGTCCTCGTCCATAAAGGGTTTTCTCAGCCCTGCTCTCGCCTTTCCGCATCAGGGCAGCAGGACCCAAGTCGCCCCCCCATATCTAACCCCAGCTCGCGGTACCGGGTTTAGGCACTCGCACCGTCAGACCTGCAAGAAGGCGCTCATTAATAGCCTGTGAAACCAATTAGCTTCACCTTCAAGAAAAGCTAAAACCGAGGTGTTTAACGACTCCCTTTTTTTGGGGGGGGTGCTGGTGCTAATTACTGCCATAAAAGCTTCGCTACAAAGAAGTTTGGAATTTCTCCGTTCCTCTGCGCACCGGAGTGTAGCGCAGGAGCGGAATAATCGTCTCATTATCATGATAATTTCATTTGCTCCCTGAGAAAAGGCTGCGCGTTAGCCCCGAACACACGTTTAACACCGGGGATGAAATCGTGGAGCCACATTTCCAGCCCGAACTTGTGCTCGCTCGGAGCGGGCAGGGCAGCGGCTGCAGCCGCTGCTGGGCGCAAGCAGCCCGGCGCGCTGCCTCTCCGAGCCACAGCCGCCAACCGAGCCTTTCCCGCGGCCAGAACAAAAATAAAATTAAAAAAAATATATATAAAGAAAACAAACGTATATATATACATCATTTTTTTTTGAGGTCTCGCTCGAAGAGACAAATATAAATGCGAATTTCCCCTGCCCTGTCATTTGCTCCAGCCAGGGAAAATCTGCTCTCCCGCAGGAAACAAACGCGGCGATTTCCGAAGGGTGCAGCTGCGGAGCCCAGCACCAGCACCCCGCTGCCTGCTCCCGAGGGACCCGACGGCAGCGGGGAGCAGCCCCCGGAGCCGCCCCCCGCCCGGGGCTCCCCGCGGGGCCAGAGCCGAGCGGCTCCGGCTTGGGTTTTGTGCGGATTTGTTCGGCATAAATAGGTGGCTGCCTCGGCCGGAAAGGGAAAAAAACAAAACAAAACAAAACAAAACGAGGGGAGAGGGGCAGAGCGGAAAAGAAGGCTCCTTTTTGTCAGGCTGCGGTGCCAAAAGCTGCTCGTTATTACTTTTTCGGTACAACGGGACCGCTCTGTTTCTGGCCTTACCCCACTGCGAGATGCAGGGAAACCCCACAAGGATCGCGCGCATAGTTTGGTGCAGATGGTGGCCTACAAGCACAAAGATTGAGGGGGAGTATCTGTTACAGCAGGACTTTCTAGCAGCTGCAGATGTTAGGGGCCTAAAACTACTCCATGTGTTCGAACAAATAATGACCATCATTTTCTCTTCTTTTATTATTAGAACGGAAATACACCGGAGCACTTACATTTGTTCTAATTTCAGAAGTTACCTTCCTCCCCGGCCGGGCGAAGCCCGAGCCTTGCTCTTTCTTCCAGCCCGCAGCTGCCGCAGGAGCGAGCCCAGGAGCGGATTTTTGAGCGCTCCGGGGGCAGCCCGGGGCTGGGCTCTCAGCTGCAGCCCCCGGGAGCCGCGGCTCCCGACCCCTGCCCGGCAGCAAGCCGAACAAAGCCAGCCCGTGCGCGGCCCCGCTGCTTCCCCGGCGCTTTAGGAACTGCGACGAGAGCCGGACAATAAAAATGCCCGCACTCTGCGCTTCCTAATTTACTCTCCGGCCGCTGCCCCGATAAACTTAACAGCCGCAGCTCGCCCTCGCTAGCGGGGAGCGCAGCGCAGCGCAGCCCGGGGGACCCCGAGCGGGTGCGGAGCTGGGTGCGGAGCCCCCCCTGAGCCCGGGGGTCCCCGCGGCGCGGCCCCGAGCCCCCCCGGCCCCGCACGGAGCTACCTGCACCCTGGCCTCGGACAGCCCCAGCCGCTGGCTCAGCTCCTCCCGCATGAAGGCGTCCGGGTAGTGGGTCTCGTCGAAAAGCCTTTCCAGCTCGTTCAGCTGCTCCAGGGTGAAATTGGTCCGGCTCCGCCGCTGCTTGATTTTCGTCTGCCCTTCGTCTTCCATCGCTTTCGCATCCTCCTTGCGCTCCTTCAGCTCTGGGGAGACTGGGCACGACACGAGCGGTCAGCCCGCAGCCGGCCTCCTCCCGGGCCCGGAGCCGAGCCGGGAGCCGGGCCTGAGCTCCGGGGCCGTGCTAGGCCCGCCTCGGCCGCTGCCGTACCGGGCCCGGCCGCTCGGCTCTGGCTCCGGGCTCGGGGCTCGGGGCTCCGCGCTCCGCTCGCCTCCTCCCGCAGCCCTGCCCCGGCGCCGCCCGCCCGGGGAAGCGCAGCAACAGGTCGCGGCTGCACCCCGCGGCCCCTCCGCGCCCCGAGAGGGCGAGAAAAGCTCCCCGCGGGGGGCTCCGGAGGGTTTCGGGGCTGTGGGTCCGGTGCCGGTGGCTGCGAACCCCGGGCCTGGTCCCCGGCACCGGCGGCTCCGTGCGCGGGGCTCCCTGCGCGGGATCTGCGCGGCTCCTGCGCGCCGCGGGGCTGCCGCCGACCCCAGGCCGGCAGCGGCTCCCGGTTCGCCGGGTTCGTTAGCAGAAATTTGTCGCCGAGCCGTTTCCGGAGATGCTCCCGGCATCCCGGCGCTCGGAACAAAACAAAAAACCGAACAAAAGGGCGGCAGCGCACGGCGGGGGCCCCGCGCAGCGCCGCGGACGGGCTCGGACGGCCGCTGCCTCCCCGCCGCACCCGGGCACCGGCAGCGCGGCGGAACCGAGGGGGCACCGAAGCGGGGAGCCCCCGGCCCCGCACCGCCCCGCACAGCCCCGCACAGCCCCGCACCGCCGGTACCCGCGGGGGGGACGGGGCAGCCCCCGGGGCCCGGCTTTCGTTCCGTGCGCCCCGGAGGAGCGGGTCGGGCGGTGCGCGAGTTCAAGGCTCGCCGCAAGATTTGAACGCAAACTTCTGGGCTGGCCGCGATTCGGGGGAGCCGCGGATGCCTGCCGGAGACCGGGGACTCCGCGGCCGCCGCTTCGGCCGGGGGCACGGGCAGCGCCCCGACGGGGAAAGGGGGAAGGCGGGCAGGGGAGGGAAGGAAGGGCGGAGGGCCGCGGAGGAAGGGGCGCCCGCGGTGCCGCCGTTACCGTCGCTGAGCTTGGGGGTGGCCGCCTCGGCGGCTCTCTCGGCGGCGGCGGTGGCGGCGTCGGGGTCCCGCGGCGGGGTCCGCCCGCCGCCCGCCCGCCCCGCGGGGCTGCCCGCCTCGTCGCGGCCCGGCTCCGCCGCGGGGCCGCCGGGCTCCCGGGGGCCGGCGGCGCCGCGCAGGGGGCCGCTCTCCAGCACCTCGCGGTAGGTGATGAGCTCCTTCTTCTCCTTCGCCTTGGGGTCAAACGACTTGGAGACGAACGCCGTCAGCTCCTCCATGGCCGCGGCTCAGGGGCGCGCTGCCCCGGCTCGCCGTGCCGCCCCCCCGGGCGGGCATCCACGGGGCGGGGTGGCGGCGGCGCCCCCGGCCGTGCCGAGCCGTGCCGAGCCGAGCAGTGCCGCGCCGTGCCGAGCCGTGCCGCTGCTATCCGAGCCGTGCCGTGCCGTGCCGAGCCGTGCCGCGCCGCCCGACGTGCAGGGCCGGGGCGGCTCTCCGCGCCAGCTCTCGGGGTCTGATAGCGACGCGGCGATTGAAGTGGCACTATTTATACTTTGCAACGCCTGCCCCTTGTTCCCGGCGAATTACCTCCCCTCGGAGCTCTGAATGCAGCCCTTCTCCGCCGCCCGGCCGCGCCGCCCGCCCGCCCGCCGCGGGGCACTGCGGCCAGGGCAGCGCCGGCCCGCCCGCCCGCCGCGCTCAGAGCCCTAATTAATTTAATTAAGCGCGGGCCCGCCGCGAGGTCCCGGGCGAGCGCTGCGCGGAGAGAGGGGCCGGAGCTGCAGGGGAGTGGCCACGGAGGGAGGCGGCGGGGGGCGCGCAGGCTCCGCACCCGCACCCGCTGCGGGGCTCCGCGGGGAGCAGGGGCCGGGAAGGGGCCGGGACCCCCGCAGCGCCCCCGGCCGAGCCCGGCACCGGGGGAACCGGCAAAGTTGGCTCCGTGGGCGCCCGGATCCAGCGGAGCGCCGTGGGGCTGGCTGCCGGGGCCGGGCACGGGCACGGGCGGCTCACGGACGTTTTCTCATCCGGCGAACGGAGGCAGCAGCTTGGGGCGAATTCCGCCGTTTGCCGCTAACATTGGTTTTTTGTTGTTTTTTGTTTTTTTTTTTTTTTTTTTTTCCCCCTTTGTCGCCCAGATCCCGTTAGGGCCGTACTCGGGTTGACAGCAGCCGCCTCGTTTCGCACCTTCTCTGGCACCCCAATAAACGATTCCCGGGTCTGTAACTCCCTCCCGGGCACCGGTTCCCGGCTGAACCCCCGCGGGGCTCACACGGCGGGGCCGGGGCAGGACGCGGCGCCCCCCCCCCAACCCCGGCGCCCCCTCCCCACCTTTGCGGGCCCCGATCGCGCTCGGCCCCCGCTCCCAGCGCCCCGGGGCCACATAACGGGGGCGGGCGGCCCCGGGGCGAGCTCTCCCCGCTGCCAACGGGGCCGGGCCGGCGGCGGCTCCCCCCGTGCTGCCGAGCCCCGGGCATCGCGGCCGAGCCCCCGCCGTGCCCCCAGCGCTGCCCCAGGCCCCGCGGCGCTCCGGGGGGGGGGCGAATTCGTTGCGTGGGGGCTGGATGCGGGCAGGTCGCGGGGCTGCCCACGCTGCTGGCTCTGCCCCCGGTCCCTCCTTAGCCCACGAAGCCCCCTCAAACCCCACAGCCCCTAAAAAGGGGGGCACCGGGGCACCGACCCCCCCCCAGCCCCTGTGGGTGCCTCAAGCCCACGACGGGGCAGCCCCCATGACCCCTCTTGTTGTGACAAGAAGTGCAGCCCCCCCCACCTCTCTCCCGGCCCCGGGATACCCCCAGCGCCCCCTTCTCACCCCCATCCCCCTCCCTTTTAACCCCCCCCCAATCCCCAAACCCACCCCCGGTGCCCGGCTCATCGCGTGCTCGGCGCTCGGCGGCGCTGCCTGGCGGGCTCGATGCGCTCGGCGCTGCGCTGGTGCTGCCTGCCCGGCGCCCAGCGAGGCGCTGAGCTCAAACCGCCGCCCGCCGCCGCTCCGGTAAGGCCGGGACCGGGGGGGGGGGACCGGGACCGGCACCGGGGGGCGGCGCCGGGCCCTGTGGGGCTGCCCCGGCCCCGCCGTGTCCCGGCCCGCAGCGCCTGGGTGACGGGGGCCCGGCCTGAGGCCGGGAGTAGGGCGCAGGGCGCAGGGCCCGGGCGCGTTGCTATGGAGAGGGAGGGCCCGGGGGGGCCCCGCCGTGAGGGGAGCCCTGAGGGGAGCCCTGAGGGAGCCTGAGGGGCGGCTCCGGGGGGCGCTGGGCTCTGGGGGGTGCTGGGCTCAGCGGCCTGGGGTGGCTGCGGGCACCTCGAGCCTTGTCCCACCCCCCCCATTTAACTTTGAAATCTCAGGGCTCAAAGTTAGATGTAGGAACGCAGTTATCACAAATCGCCTCAGTTCAAAGCCATGGGTGAGCAATTAGGAGGTTCAGAATTAATGATTTTTTCACAAAACCATAATACTCTGAAAAAATACTCAAACAGGATAGGATAGCCTGTATTTAACCAGGAGGTGAAGTCATGGCACACTTGGTGTCCCTGGATTCTTGCCGCCAGGGAGGCGCTGCAAGGAGCAGCTCAGCTCCTGGGGCTCTCCCATCTTGAGACTTTCCTCCGAGGTGACCAGCTCTGGCAGGAGGCTTTGCAGATGCCCTTTGGATGTTTCTCCTTAGCGATCTGGAAGTTCTTCTTATGGAAAGAAACGCTGCTGGATGAGTATTTAAAAACAGATGTTGCCCTCATAAGATTATATCACCTCATTGCCTTTTCTAATCAAATCTCTTCCTCCACTTGAGAGTGTTTTTTTCTGAATTGTTTGGGAGAGTTTCCACATAACTACAGGATTGAGAGGTAGATACAAAGGTGCTCTCATCTATACACACACAAAGGCTGTCTGAGAGGGACTGCCACCCTCTTCTTCAATCTCCCTCTTCCTGCAAACACCTCTGCTGTTGGTAACACTGAATCCTACACAGTGAGCCTGTTTCTCACTAACTTAGACTAAAGTTCACTTCAGTTAGCATCATTTCCTGGCTGGAGCTCATCAGGTGATATCTCTTGCTGGCTTCTCCATTCTCTCCTCAAGGTGGGCACACACATCTTGGTAGAGACACCCCCTAAATATTGCCACTGGTTGGCGTTTACTGCAAGTTGGCCCTAAATGAAGGGTCTTAGTACCTAACGTCTGCTCTAGGTTTTTGTGTGCAGGGCGGGAGGTTAGCTAGCTGTTTGCAGTGAGCTTGATAGCGCTGTTTGTAATTTTGCCCAATGTAGGTACTTGGTTTCAGGTTCGTGATGGTGGTGTTTCTCTTGGCACAGGTGTGGATGAGAGCGTGCGCTTTGCTCTCATGTCAACCAGCGTGCTGCAGTGTCAGTTTTAAGAGAGGAGACTTAAACAAAATCAAAGTATTACAAATAGGCCCGGAGACCTGTCTGTAGGTGCTGGAACAGCCTTTGCTCCAGAGCAGGGACATGAAATTTACCAGGTCTGGCTGTGAGCATCCCATTGAGAAGTTCAGCAGAGTGGCAGGAAAGTACGAGCTTCACTGATGTTGTGGTGAGGAGACTTTGTGCCTCTCTGATCTGACTTTCTGATACAGGTCTTAATAACAGACTGGTTTCAAGTGCTATGTTTTTACGAGGTGTCCTCACAGGAAGATGTGTGCGATGTGCTGAGGGGACGATCTGAAGACACCGGTGAAAGAGAGTGCATGAATTGTTCCAGGATCAGGTCTGCTTCTGGCAGCTTCTTTCCTAGTGGAAACTCAAGGACTTGCAGAGCATTGGTCACCCACGTGCCTGTGTCCTGCAGCTCGTCTACAGCCAGTGCTTCTTGGAGCTCCTGAGGCTCATGTGTGTGTAAAGCAGAGGGATTCCACGGGTTGCAGCAGGGCTTGTCGCCCAACAGAGAAGGGCCGTGGCACGTAGCTTGTCTTTGGTCCTGAAGACACGAAATTGAGATTTACACGCCACGTTTCACTAGCTTGTAATGCCGCTTAATGCAGTGATGTGCCAAACGGGGAGAAAGCTGATGGTAAAAAGAGGAAGTTAAACAGCAGACAATATACGCGGTGAAGTGTAATGTTCTGGCTCATAATGATACCCGCGTCAGGCGGCGAATGTCGTGGCAGAAATGCCTTTTGTGCTCTGTGTTTCCCTGGGCTCTCCCATTAATCTTGCTGTCACGAGCTGGGGCCGTGAGCTTTTAGCTTAAGATCTCCGCGCTGGAGTTTCATCTTCCTGAGCAGTTTCTGCTTATTTCGAGTTTGAGATTCAGGTTCATCTTCATTTGAAGACGGCTCTATCAGTACATATTTGAAGAGCTTTATTTTACTGTACAATAACTGTTAGTACCTGGGAGCTTTAAGTCTTTTACTATGAGTGTGTGGGGGGAAAGAAATAACTGCTCGAGGTAGTGTCTTGATATAAATTGGCATTCCTCTACAGAACTGCGAATTAAAGTCATATTTCCTTAAGTGACATAAAATAGTCTGTAAAATACTGCCTCTATCTCCTTCAAGGGCTATGAGGGATAACTTCAGTAATATGGTAAAAATAACTTTACTTAAAAAGGAGAGCTCTTGCAAAGCAGTTCATCCGAAACTCCTGCCGTTCAGGTGCACGGAGACTTACCATTTCAAGCTGAATATTTCAAAACTGCTCTGCTTAGATTAGAGCTGCTCCTTCAGCTCACAAAGTGCTGAAAACTGGGGCTATGGAGGAGTGAAGGGAATATTCGGAGGGGTTTGCGGTGGCAAAGCTTGGCGATGGCTCACTTGGCGGCACTGCCGGCTGCGTGAAGTGGTGCCAGACCCACCGAGGTTTGGCTGCCTGGGAACGAGCTTCATGTCGCTGCTGCTTTGATTGTGGCAGTAAGTAAATTCCTATGGGCGTCCAAGAGGACCCAGATATGTAAGGGACCACCTCGTATTTTGTGGTGAGCAGTTGTTGGATGATAAAGCACGGGAGCTCTGGTGGTGGCCGATGTCAGGAGGGTGTCCCTGGGGCTGGGGCTTTCTCACCTGGGCTGTGGTGTCACTGGGGTGAGCTCCAGCATGGCCGGGGGATTTGGGCTTCACCTCCAGGCTAGCTCCTCCTCCCTGGCATAGTTTCTGTGTATTTGAGTGTAAATACACTTAATAGTGAATTTCTTTTGTTCTCTTTTCAGTCTCTGCCCTGGAGATTAGGGCCTGCTGCCTAGGTGGTAAAAGGGGTGCAAGAGGGCAAAAGTTGGCATGCAGAAAAGGAACAAGTTCAACCTGTGGGTGCCGGAATATGAGGAGCTGTAATATTTCAGTGTTGGTTAAAGACAGATGGTATTGAGGCAAAATATACCTGTGACTTAGCCATTGATATAAACCTTAAAGAATTGTGAGTTCCCATTTTCCTCGTACAGAAGTGGCCAGGGACCAACCCAGTGTTGGGGTGGGGAGGAGGCCTGTTACCAGCTGCCCTCAGGTAGGGTGTGTGGAGGGGGGTCTTGAAGTCTTGGCCTAAAATGGTGCAGGTATTCTGGGACAGGAGAAGTTTTAAATCATTTCTTGCTCTTTGCAGCCTGAAAAGTCAAGAAATGCAGCATTTCTCTGATCATAAAGCAATGCAACCAATTGCTTAGGAGTTACAAACGAGGATGACAGTCTTTGCAGCAATTAAATGAGTGACAGCACTCCCCTCCCCCTTTTTTTGGTTTGTTATCAAAGTCTCTAGACTTTGCCAATGTGCTTATTTGGACAATCAAGACCTTTCTGAAGTCTGGTATTTGTAGCTCTGGTTTTTGGCATAAAGGGATCTGAAATTGAGTGGTTTTAAACTGAAACCCAAAACCAACCAAACTCCAGTGTAAATTAATTTAAAGATAACATTCTAGAAAATGTTTTCTCAATGCTTGTTTTAATTATGACAAGCAGAACGAAACCATACATTATTTTAATTGCACCGTCTAAAAACATGCCGTGAGTTGCGTCAGTGACTGAAATAGGTTGCAGTTTATTGATTGTGCAAGTATGGATCTTCATCTGTAACTGTAAATTAAGATTGTGTGCAGTCAGCAGTGCAACATCTTCACTATGCTTAATATGAAATATCCTGTAAGAAATAACTTTGTAAATTACTCCCTACATTTCTTTAAAAGTATCTAATTGAAAAATGTAAACAAAAGCCAAGATGAAATATGTTATTAACAGACAAAAAAAATGATTTTATTAGTGTATTTATCTGTCTACATGGTTGTAAAATATTTTTTGTGAAAGTTTAAAGCAAATATTTAATGCCACAGTAAATTCACACTGTCAGCAAATAAGTTCCAAGTTAGTTGGTAATGTGACTTTGTTGACATTCTATTTAAATCTTGATTTAATTTTTACACAGAAACAAAATTTTCTATTCACATGGTAGCTTTTAAAATGGTGTAACCATATGTGTATTTATACAAGCACACACATTTTTATATATATATTTATATACATATAGAAATGTAACGCAGACACAAGATGTTCTTACAGTTTAAGATTCTTATTTTTACTTAGTTTAAAAATGGGACGTCGCTCCTCGGACACGGAAGAAGAGAACAGAAGCAGAAGGAAAAAGAAACACCGCAGGCGTTCATCTTCAAGTAGCTCCTCAGACAGCAGAACATACAGCCGTAAAAAATCTGGAAGGAAATCGAGGTCAAGGTCGCGGTCTCGGGATCTCCAGTCTCGCTCACATTCTTATGACAAAAGGTGCGTTTGCAGTAATTTACTGGCTGTTGCAGTTGTTTACAAATCGAGCTCTTTCACATGGTGCAAAGCTCGAAGTGTTTGAATCCCATGTGTGGTCAATTCCAGTTTAGAATTGTATAGCAAAGTTTGCTCAGAACCTCGGCAGAGGTGGCACTATTTCCACTGACATCAAAACACAAACAAAAAAAAAAACAAAGCCCAAAGCAAAAAACAACAAACTACAAACACCATATATATGCAGATCCAAAGGTAAATTTCTTATTTTAAAAACACAAAATAAACAAACCAAATTCTTCCTTTCTTCTCCTTCTAATGAATTTGGAATCTCTTTTTGGGAAGATAATGGTTCATACATTAACATCAGTTTGGAAAGTAATTCCATTTACAAGTTACAGACTATGCTGTGTTAATTGTTTTCTGTTGCCAAAGCCAAGGAGGGCTTCCCAGGCAGCAAGGCAGACTTCCTCAATGGGAATTGTTATGGTAATTTTACAGTGGGTGTGTAACTTTGCTGTAAAGGTTAGTTTTCACCATCAGTATTTTTTTTAGGGTCCAGAATAGAGTAGTTAGCCAGGTGTTGAGAACACAGCTCGTGTGGCTGTATCTACCAAATTTTTCTCAACACCTTGTTTCCTTCCTCACAGAGGCCCCTTTTAGCACCTGATCTTTTTAGATAGCCAGTTTCTCTCTGTTTCTGTCTGGCTTAAGGTGAGCCTGGAGTCAAACTGGGCAGGTGGTGGCCAATTCATGAATAGGTGGAGCTGGAAGATACTCATCTTGTGTAGCTGCACTGGAAATATCTTAGGAGCTGCTCCTGGGCAGCCTTTCTGTAGCTGGTAGAAGTGTTTCAGGTGAGTTGGCTGCTTCTGGGGGGGGGGTTTCTTGTTTGTTCATTTCCATCCCTGCTTTCTTCTGTTCCTGCTTAGCATCTACATACAGCCCTTAGGGGACACAGCGAGATGACATGGGCTCCGATGCCAACAATATGCTGATGACATGCAGCTTTATGAATCTCTTTAGTCCAGTGCAGGCATGGCTATCTCACAGATAAAAACAGAGCTTGAAGGGAGATTAGAGTCTGGACGAAGACCAGTTGACTTAAATTGAATCCAGAAAAGACGAAAGTGTCTGCTTTTAGGATCTGGCTAGCACCTCTGCTTTGCCCTCAGTTTAGGACATTTGCTTCTGGCAGTGATGTCACTAACACGCTGGTGTCCTGCTGGATTTATCCCTGACCCTTAAGAATATAAACCAGCAGTCTTCAAGATGACTTTTCCTCATCTTTGTTTAGCAGGAACACTAGCATTTAGCATTCCTTTTTCAGATCAAGACCTAGTTAACCTCAAAATCCTTACCAGTCCACTTGACTACAGCACTTGTTGTATGTAATACACCCTTTTCCTTACGGAAGATAATATCACGCTGACCAGACCCTGAATTACAGGAATATAGTGTTATTTTTTAATGCTATGTAAGAATCACGAAGCCCAGAAATATGTAGGTTCTTGTAAGGGTTGTAGTTGTTACCTAGTCAGCTGTGGGGGAGCGGAGAGGAAATTTTACAAAAGGTTAAGAGGGAATCCCTCCCGCAGTTTGGGGATTAGTTGGTTTAATTTAGGCATTTATCATGTATTCTTTTGATTTTAAATACATTTATCATGTATTATTTGATTACTAGTAGCTCTAAGAAGAGGTGGGGGAAAGGTCTGTCTATAACAGAGCAGGGTGAAGATTGCATTTATGAAAATTGAGAACTTGTTTATATAGCAAAATATGCAAAATATTTTTAGGTGTACATAATTTAACATACATTTTGTGTGTTTACTTTTTATGTGTGCAGATAGAATGGCTGGAAATAATCGTGTAGAGTAGCAGTGCAGAAGCTGACATTTTGAATTTCATTTTTAGCAGTGGAATTATAGTTCCTTCCATTGAAAAGCAATCCCATACAATGTATTTCTGTGTAAATTCTGCTGAGAATGTAAGTCTAAATGTTTTTTTAACCTTAGATTTGGCAAAGAGTCAATGAGTTCCAACATGCTGGTCATGGGACTAAAATGCATTGAGAGTAGGGTTGTGTTCCTGGCTTAGCCCTTCAAGTGTTGTATGATTTTAGGCATATCAGTTAACTTCTGTTTCTCCTTCTGCCCTTTTTCTGTCTTGGGATATGTATTTTTGAATGTAAGCTCTTTAAGACAGGCATTGCCCAGGTACGTGTGAATTACTTATGAAGCTGCAGTGGTGGTATTTGTTGAGGCTTTTAAGACATCTTGTAATACAAGAAATGGTTTTGCATATACTTGTTTTTTTAATGAAGCACTGGTGTACTAACAGCATGGTTTTGTTTTAGACGCAGACACAGATCAAGCAGTAGCTCTTCATATGGATCTAGAAGAAAACGCAGTCGTAGCCGATCAAGAGGCAGAGGCAAATCCTACAGGTCTCAAAGATCGAGATCAAAAAGTAGAACAAGAAGGTAAGATGCTTTTCTGGGAGAAGGAATTACTGTCATTTCTACCGTAAAACATTTACTTAAAAACTCCACGTACTTACCAAATGTGTGAATATACCAGAAAAAATGGTTGCAAGTGGTCTAATTGACGTGCCACTTGAAACTCTTCCTAATTTGAAATCTCTGTGTTGAAATCTCTTTTGATGTACTATGTCGTTAATTTAAGCTGGTAGAACAGTTGGATTTGACAGTAAGTTATATACTTTGCATTTGAGCAAGTGCAAAAAAAAAATAATTAATAAAGCCACCTTATTTTGGTTTAACTGTAATCATCTGAAGACTTTGCGTGGATTTTGTCTTTTTGATTACTTATTTCTGTAACTTCAATGCAAAATACTGGCTCAGTGAAGGTGACACTGAACTGTTATTTTCTCATCTGTATTTCTCTTGAAATTGATACCTGTTTATAGTTATGCAAATTTTACTTAATATTTAAAGATATGTGGTGGTGAAAATCTTGATGAATTGAATGTTGACTAATTAATATTTTCAATAACAAGCATAATTTAAATCATAGTCTGTTGCGAATTGTATTATAAAAACTGTTTCATACTTCTGTAATTAACAGAAGCTTGCTTTTTTGTGTATTTCTCTCAATAAGTTTAAATAAAGTTTATCCTTGGACATCAGAAATACTGTTAGCATTTCCTATGGAATTTAAGTTCATTATTTAGTATATCAGGCAGATCAAAGCTTGCTTTCTTTGTATCTGTTTACTGATGCAAAGGTTACCTTACTCATCGTCAGGTAGGTAATTTTGTCTACCTATACTGAGAATTTAGTAAAACATTATTTTCCTATATCAAATCAGTCGAGCTGTTCCTTCTGAACATTATTGGAAAAACTGTTTGAAGGACGTGTGTGTTTCACTTTCTCCTATTTGTATTCTGTCATGACTTATTCACAGCTGTTCATTATATACTTGCCTGGACACTTAGCGCTACAGTGCTTTTGTAGTAGCAATTTGGTTATTTAAATGGACTGATTCCTCCTTGCGTGTACTTTTCATCTGAGCTGTGGGCTCTAGCTAAGCTTCTGAGCTCTATGTAGAAATACTCCTGTAAATATCCACTGTTTTATAACAATTCAGTTTTAAAACAACGAAACATTAGAATGTTAAGGATGACAATGAAGGTGTTTTTCAGTCTGTCAGATACTCAGTATGAGGAACTCTGATAACCTGTTTTTAAAGATCCTTTATTGTAATAACTGCTAATTGCATTGTTAGACATAGTCTAATATACTAATGGTCGTGTTTGCCAGAAGGTTTACTGATGTTGGTTGTCACCGCAATGTATGGAAATTATGCAGCTAAAAAACTTGAAATAAATTGCAGTCAGGTTTTTAATTTTGTGCCGGGGAATACTGTGCACAAATATTTTATATATAAAATACACTGGCTTTTCAGTGCTACAGCTATGAAATACAGTTGCAGGTCAGTTTATATTGCAATTCACAGACGTGGATCTTTAGGGAAGATATTCATAAATAACATCCTAAATTATGAAAGAAGACTTTCTGAGCATGTTAAAATCATAAAATTAAAAGCAAAGGGTCACACCAAGTCCTTTACTGTTATTTTTTTTTCACGTCTGCTCTCTGTTGTGATGTTACGCTGTGAAGCCACGCTTAATCTTGCTTCTGGAGAAGAGGTAAATGAGTTGCAGAAAGCTGCTGCTGGAGGCCTGTGTTCTCCCTGCTTGTTAGCATGGAGGCTGTTGCAGCAGCGCTGAATGCTTCCTTTCCTTCCTAACTCAAAATCTGTCTTGTGCATTTGACTGAAGGTATGAACAGCTCTCTGAAGGGGCCTGACTGAGTGCCTTACGATTCCTCAGGCTGTAAAAGAGATTGTGGGGGACAGAGGGAATATGATGGAGGGGTATAAAAAATGAATGATGTGGAAAGATGATTAAGAAATGAGTGTTTCCTGTCTGCTGCAATGTAAGACCCAGGGCAAGCATCGAGTGAAGGAAGTCTGTTGGTTCTTACGTATCCCGTAATTGAGATGTGGAAGCCCTTGCTGTTGGTTATTGTGGATACCCCAAATTTAATTGAGTTAATAAAGAAATCAGGCAAGAAAAACCCATCCAAAGCTGTTAAAGGTGAAGAGACAGTATTTGCCTTGGGAACTGTACGCAGCGTTGTGATGAAGTGATTGTGGATTTTATGTGAATTTGGCACCTGTCATTCATCAAATTTTTTTTGCTTAGGGTGGGGCAGCTTATTTTCATATGTAACTGTAAAAGGTAAGTACTGAAGAAAACATATGTAAAGTAGCTAATAAAATGATTAGAAGTAGCTCATCCATCTTCTGTTGGTGTAGTAAAAAGCGTGTCACCCACTGAAGTATTCAGCAGTAGAGTGAAGATCTCTGTGCTACTCTTCTTTGTGTTGTTCCTGTTGTACTTTCCAAGTACCGCCTGTAGGACTTGAGCAACTGTGAGTTTTCAGATGCAAATGGGGCTGACACTAGAAAACTAGTTTCATGGTGGATGTTAAGATCCTTTACGTGGTATCTGTAAATCACTGGGTTTGGTTTTGGTGCAAGCCATGCAGATAGTGCAACCTCTGCATCTCATAATAATGCCTCTTCTCCCTGCAGTCCTCCATCAAATTAAGAGAGTTTGTTTTTCAAGGTGCTAAGCATGTTTGTGGCTGTAATGCAATTTTTTAAATACTTCAGGAGCATAAATATTTCATTTGGATGAAATACTGAAATATCCAGCTTTAATTTGAAAAGCTAGACTTTTTCTAGTGACACGTAAAAATATTTTGAGCTTTTGGTAATCTAAAGTGATTTTTTTGTACTTTATTTTAGAAGATGAGAAAACTTGTGTGTATTATAACTGTTTTAGATGCATTTTTTTTAGAGCCAAAAAAGTGGGGCTTCCTAGTAATGCTATAAATTTGAAGCTGTCCTACAGCAAGATAGTACAATGCAAATATGACTTAATAAGATCACAAACTGAATTTCAGCAAAACAACCAAGATTTACATTAAATTAGGAATTTTAAAACCGATTTAGTTTGTTTTACTGAGCATTTGCTTAATAACATTTTGCCTTCTTGCAATCTTTTTAAAGACAATAATTCGTCTGTGAAATGCAGGCACATCCTCAGTAGAAAAATTGAAAGCAACAGCTCACTTTCTGAAACCACACATATAGTGATATAAAGAAATATTTCAGCTCTACGAAATTTAATAAATCATCCCATTTCCTAATTTGATCATATTAGATGCTGATGTGGAAGAAGCATTTCAAATACCATCTCCTCATTAATATACATCAGTCTGGGGAATAGAATGGAATACTTTATGCAGAGATGTCACAGTTACTGTTTCTTAGTTTACTAAGTGGAACAGGTTGATGTGATACTGGGTGCTATTTGTCAATGTCTTGCTAAAATGGTTTGGGTCGAGTTATGGAGTCCAGAAAGACGGCGGCTGATAAATCAAAAGTGGATTGAGTGGACAGGAGGCAGTGATTGATACTGTGACAGGATATGAAGAAAGGAATCTTGATACAAGCATGCATGATATTGAATATGAGAAGGAAAATGGCCCTGGAGTATGGATATTATTCAAGGAAATGAGAATAATAATATCATCTTGAAATTATTGCTGGGTGAAGATTAGGATAGTTCTTATTAGAATATTATGCTTCTCTGGAATGGAGAAACTCAGGTTCCACATAATTTGTATGTAACTGGGGTCTTGTTAATATTTTCTGAGTTTTCACTGCAATTGTTCTGCAAGTTAATTATGGATGGAAAATACTTATTTTACATCACAGCTCCTGACTTCAATCTTTTAATTCACGTAGCTTGAAATAGAATTAACCAAAAGATGTTAACCTTTATTCCTTGATTTCATACAATTCTGTGATTATAGAGTATTTCCCTGTAATTGCCTTTAAATATGCAAGTTTGTTTTTTATTGTCTGCCAAGTGCTTTTGGCTTTCCCTGTTATGTTAAACTGAAACCTGCTGTCTTGAAATATCTTTAACAGTTCAACTTAGGGTGTTACGGTAAGTTAGTACATCTATAGATAACTAAGAAGAGGAAACAGCACATAAGGCAGTCTTGTTTGTAAAATTGATGCATTTGGACAGTCAGTGAAGGAAGTGTCTGATCAGTGGCTGTTTTGTGTTGGTGGGGGTGGAACATGGTTATGTTACGTGAGACGTTATTTCCTTAGCTTTCTTCTAGTCTAATTGATTTAATTTTGAAATAAGTGCAGCTTGTTGCTGCCTAGTGGCAGGGCGACCTATTGTGTATGGATGGCTTTGGGATAGAGTTGGGTTTTAGTAGCAAAAAGCAGATTGTTGATGGAAGTTGCCATTATCCTAGCAATGTAAACCAGAATTATCTTACATCCATCCCTAACAGCTTGCCAGAATTACTCAGTTTTAGTACTCACCATTTGCACTATTTAGTGTGGCAGTATGAACGTGCGAAGTTCTTCCAAATAAAGCCTATCAGAGCTTACAGCTGATAACAGAGGTTGGATCAAGACGTAATCTTTACTAACGTGCATAAATTTGAGTTTGAGGGGATAGTCTCCATTATGAACAACTTTGGCAAGAGTTTTCTGCTAACTGCATCAGCCTGAAATGGTAATAAAGGTTCTTAGGAGAGAGGGAGATGAAAGGGATATATGTTTGGAGGTAGGCATTAATGTCAGCAGCAACGTGTGGCAGAAGAGATAATGACAGACAAAGCAAAATTGTGAGGGGTCTCACAGCTGAGCTGATGGAGGAACAGGAAGAAGTAGGGGAGACTTTAATTAAAAAAAAAAAGGATGGAATGGCTCAAGTAGTGTTCAAAAAGCATCACATACATAAGATGAATTGCAGTTGCGTGAACCTGGAATCTTGATTCTGTGATTGAGTGTTGTGAAGCAAGACTAAATTTCAGAATGCCACAGGTGTGGGGATTAAAGCCAAGGCTGGTTTCAAAGAGCA